CCCCAAAACCCCAAAACCCCAAAACCCCAAAACCCCTCAAGATTTCAATACAATTGAGGTATATTTAAATTAAAATGTTCTACAGTAATGCTTACCCTTATCAGTCACAGTGTCATCTACAAAGGCCAACTAATAATATGCCAGTGCGTAATAGACCGTATGCATTCTTCATGCCAAATTATCCGATGGTCAACTGAATGCCTTACCAATTCACTTCTTGTTTTGACAAGTCACCTGAGTCTTCAGAGGTTGGTTCCATGCTGAAATATGAGTTTAAGGCTGAAAATGAGAAATGAGAGAAACAAAAATATAATACAAAGAGCATATTTAAGCAGCAAGAAGAGCTTAAGGTCTACTATTACGATCTTGGTGACCAGATCTGCCAGGAGCTTACTGAATCTCATAATGAAGTGCTTGAAAGTATATCTGCTAAGCTGAAATAAAGCCAAATGGGTCCAAAATAATCCAAATCGATCAGAAGATTTATATAAAGCTTCTTCTGAAATTGATCAGCCTAATCCTTTTCACTCAAAAATCTCTGCTGAATGAAAGAAATTGTTAGTAGATATTCCTGGCGAGCTGGAAGGACCACTAAAAATAAAGAAGACTCAAATAAGTTCACTGATAAAAGTGGATTATGAGCAGAAAACTACCGCTAGCGAAGAGGTAGTTGGAGCCCCGATATTCTCTGGGACCTTGAAGCCTGCTGAAGTCCCTAAGACAGCTGAAGCTCCTAAACCAAAGATGCTGACCAATGAGGGAAGCCGAGCTAGCTTCATCGACACTGCTTCAGACACTGACACAACAGAAATTTTCGAAGAAGAAAAACTAGATGTGAACTCTTTATTTGGGTTTAAAGCTTTAACTTCTAAAAAGCAAATCGAGGCGAAAGCCAGTACAGATTTCACTGAAAACTCTACCAAAGCCACATGCCATCGAAAGAGAGGGAGACCAAGGAAGGATTTTGCTGCTTTGCCGGTCAAAAAGATGCTGGCTTTTCTCAAAGCGGAGCTTTTGAAGAAGCTCAAGCCTCTTAAAGAGAGCAAATAGGAGTGATAGTGTTTTTATAGCTATTTTTAGAGCAATCAAGAAGATCCCTCTTTGGCTTCTCAAGAAGCTAAAATCAAAGGGCAGGTACAAGCTTGACCTGAGAAGTCAGGCCAATTGGTAAGTCTCAGTTACAGCTCCATTGCACTTGAATAAGCCAGGTTTGTGAAGCTGGCCAGAAACAATTTTTGGAGTCTGGGATCTTCCTAGGTCAACCTCATGGTACTTTAGAGATACCAGCAAGTGTTAACCCTGCTTTTTAGGTGCAAAAAATACTGAAGAAATTGTTATTTCATTAAAAAATTTAATCTTCTTGCTTGGGTTTAACTTCGGATTTCAAATTTTCACTTTAAATTAACTAATTAGAAACAAAATTAAAGGAATTTTAGAGTATTTAGTAGGCTCTTCTTTAACCTAAATAAGTGAAGCGTTCTTTTGATCTACATTGCATTCATTAGAGGTAATATAGTCAATAATTTCTCTTGATTTTTGCCTAAATCCTTCCAATCACTTGCTTAAAAACCAAACTTCCAATTCTGCAAAATCCTGGGATTTAATTGTTGCTCAGATACAAACCTGGGACTGCCTAAATAAGCAGTGCTGATTGTATGAGAGCCAGGTCAATCTGTGCCCCAATATCTGAATCTATTATAGAAAGCTGACGATAGAAACCTACCAAGAAATATACGACTACTTTATTAAAATCTTACTTGAACTAGATATCACCGATAGGTTTCAGGGAAGAAAGGATGCCTTTATACATTTCTGAGCAATAGCTTTCCCAGCAAAAAGACTACTCCAACTTTACCAACCAGATGGGACAGAAGGTAGGCTTTGGTACTCCTAAGGGCTTATGGTGTCAATTGGTTGATCTTAGGACTTTTTCTTGAGAATAATTATCAGTCTGATTTGTTTTAGACCCAGATTTGGCCCAGAAAAAGGAAGATCTAGAGAGACTGAATAAGTTACTTGGTCAGAGAAATTTGAACTGTTACATTAAATTAAGGCAATTTTGAAAAGAAAACCCAATGATGGTCTCACTCATTGAACTATTTCTCACACTTGTGGATAAAAAGGAAGAGAAACCTCATGGTCCACTTGCAAGGCTTTACGAAATAGTTAAAGAATCTGATAAAAAACCTTCTGGAAGTTAGTTAAAAGACAATTCAACAGATAATTGGTAAAAAGGGGTTTTGGGGTTTTGGGGTTTTGGGG